TAAGGTTGGTAAATTACAAGGATTTTTTTGAAGCCACGTAATTTACGTTGTAAAATACAAAAATGCACGTAATATACACGTAATTTTACTTACTATGGGGAAAAATTAACATAGTTTATAAGTTAAAATTAAACTATTTAATTGTATTATTTACACTAATTATACATTGTAGAACCTTTTAAAACTAATTCACCATTAATTATTATATATTTTAGAATCAAATTAATTGTTTCTAAATTTATACATCTTATTAAATTTGTATACAGTAAAACCCAATTATAAGAAAGTTATATTTTATACGAGTTGCTGATTCAATCATTGATTTTCGGCAAAATTTGCATCAATATTTGTCATTCGTTTTTGTAAAAGAGCCCAAAACAATTGATTTTGGTTTTGATTTTCTGATTCTAATCGATTATTATTTTTATAAGAACGTATTTTACAAAATGAAAAATGTGTGTACGTAAAATACACTGTAAAATACAACGTAAATTACGTACGTANAACGTATTTTACAAAATGAAAAATGTGTGTACGTAAAATACACTGTAAAATACAACGTAAATTACGTACGTAAAATACGTGGTTTGTCATATTGCCAACCCTAATCTCAATGTTGTTTCCAATTATTGTATATAATAAATATTTGCGCTCAAATCAGTCCGTATTTAAAATAACATATACTTTACGCCTACATATGCCTAATATGTTTAGAAATATAATCATTTTGTAATGTGATTCTCATTAAACAAATATCACATCAAAGTCTTCACATATCAATACAATTTCACTGCAATTTCAATGATAATTATCTATGTAGTCAACACGTTATGTACGGTTTAACACATAATTAAAATAAAATCAATTAAACACTAAATGAGTACTTTTTTGTAAAAGAAAATGAATTTAGAGTTTATTTATCATTTGAATGAGTAATACATTTGATAACAAGAGTTTTGAAGAAAATGATGGGTAAAAGTAAATGTTAATAAAGAAATAATTTTAATATATTATGATCACTAAATTGTTTTGCATTTCTGCGCCGATCTCTCGATATATAAAATTAATTTTATTATTTCTTAAGTTTAGAAAAAGGGTTTTTAATAGTTTACGGAAAATTTAATTGTATTTTAGTAGTTATTAATGCGGTATAAATCTGTTGCTTCTCTTTATGAATCAATTATTTGTAATGAATACTAAACTTAAATAC